CTGGACTTTCACTGCGAAGTCCTGGGAGTTTATTATGTGGTGCTGTGTGTTTCCCACCAAAGGAGCCAGGATGGTGGCCATGTGCTTGGCTGTGTTGTAAGTCACGGAGTTGATGCTGCTGACAATGGGTCTGAGTGGGGCTCCTTCCTTGTGTATTTTGGGTAGGCCATAAATGCAAGGGATGGTCTCCCCGGGGTATAGTCTGTAGTATATTCGCCGGTCAATAACTCCCTCCTTTTCCAGCTTCTGTAAAAAGCTGGGGCAAAACAGATACCTCTGTCAAAAGTTATCAAAATTGTTTTTGTTTAAAATTTGACACACATATTTAAGTTGGGAGTGTGTGTCACCAGACCAAATTTCATCTGGATCTGGTCTAAGTTTAAATTTAACATCAAAACCCCCATTTACCTCATATTTCCTGCCATAACTTTGCCTATAATGAAGACAGAACCCCGACATGTTCAGTAAGATGCTCTTATGGAGTGGGGAGGTACAGGTGGACCCCAATATGCATAGCCGAGACACAGGAGTGAAACAACAGGAGGAGAGGACTGGGGGATATGCTGGACTCAGGAGAGTCTTCTTCTCTCTCTCCTCTATCCACTCAACCCAACCAGTCGAGGCAGAAGGCTGTTATTAGGACCTGCACTATCCTGCGTGTTCTTTTATGAAGAATAGTCTAAGTAAAATCTGTCTTTAAGATATTTATTACAATATTCAAGAAAAGCAATACAGAGTACTCTGGGTTGCGTCTATTCTGAAGCCCTACCAAGCAACAGAGCACGGTTCAGTCTTTCTTCAGGAAAGAGGAACCCCTAATCTCCTGAACCCAGTCTATTTATACAGCTTTGAATGTGCAAAGTAGGTTGATCTGACTTCATCCGTGTCGCTCAGTTTCCTCATTTGTTCAGCCTCGTTCTGACTCCTCATTGGTGTTCGACCTCTTCCTGAAACAGATACTTTGCACAAAACATACTGCTTCTGCAGACATTTATTCATTGTCAGCAGTTTAGGGACAACGCCCTGACTTCTGCAGGTAGCTCATGTCCCATCTACCCATGTGGCAGGCAGCCGATTGCCAGTTGCTAAGCAACCTGGCCCTGTTCCTGCTTGTGGTTTTCCTGTTTGTCAGTGTCTGTACTCTGTACTAGCAGTTCTGAATCTCTGCACTTTGACACACACACACACACACACACACACACACACACACACACACACAAGCATTTTAAGTGCATAGGTTAAGCCATCATAAAGGTCAAACTGATTAAGCAATATTTAAAGCAGTTTAGAAAATACCTAACATGACACTAATTCTGCCAAGAATTTCTTTCTACACCGCCCACCAAGAGCCGGGGTCTATCGAAGGTTTCTTCTGTTAAAGGGTGTTTTTACTCCCCAACTGTTGCCAAGTGCTGCTCAAAGAGGATTTGTTGGGTTTTTCCTCTGTAATAATAATAATAGTAAGGTCTAGACCTGACTTTGTAGTGTCTTGTGATGACTTTTGTACTATATGTTGTTGTGTAGTTGCACATTAGGTAGCATTTATAAATCCCAAAGCCTTGTTTGTTTTGTTGAGAGTAGAAGTCAGTGTTCTAGAGAATTCATAACTTCATTTATTCAGAAACTGATTTAGTAAATGGATGTGTTAAGTGTAGTTATTCCACTCCAAAGATAAGTACTTCAATTGATATTTATTGGTAAGTTATCACTCATAATAATTGCACTAAATTTTGGTTAGTCGGTCATATAAAGGAACTTGGTGCCCCCTTCTCGAGGTAAGAATACAAGATTCATATTCAAAAATGCTATAAGATCCCATTCCATTCAAAAAGCCACCATTCCCATCACTAAACAGGAACATTTGCCTTCTTTATGAACCTCCAAGTTATATTTTTAACATGTTTTTACTTGTAATCAAGTTTGAAAATATCTGAAATAATGTCTTGTTTATTGCATTGTATCATACGCATAATATGCGTATTACTTGTGCTTACTGTGGATTATTTGTCTGCTCCTGAAGACCAAACAATAAACTGGATAAAGATAACCATTTCATAACATTTACAAACTGCTATTCTAACTAGAATGAACTCTAAGCTCTAATGAAGTTTCCTTGCATCACAACAGACCATGTTTTTATTCTTCAACAGATTTTCTGTTGTCCAGTTTTAATTACATTTTTTTGCAACAAAATAATAAAAGGGCACAATCAAAGATTCTCATAAATATTAATTAAATTAAAAAAAGGAAATAGAACTCTTAAGTGTTGTAAGTAAATGCAACTGTTTCTGGATCTGATTTTATCAACTCAAATCTAGTGATGTGTTAAATGCCACAGCATCAGTGCATTTACATCTGAAAAACATTGTTTATGTAGACCATGAAACCCCACCCACTCTAGTTCCTTAAATCATGTGTCAGATGACAGTGTCTTTGTATGAACCTTTATTGAATCTTCAGATGGTCAGTGCATTGAGACTGAACAAATAGGAAGTGACTGACTCATCTACAGACTCCTCACACAACAAAAACTGGAAGAACAATCAATCAATCAACAGTGATGAAGGTATGCAGCCGCAGGAGAATAGTCTGGTCACAGAAATCTCATAAATCACATCAACTAAAAGCGTTCAAAATCAAATTCAGAGACAAAAAAATGAAAAATAAAACCTTCAGCTGATCATCAATCTGTAGCAGGACTCCTCGA